GCTTTGTCGAGAGTACGACATGTATGTATGTAATCCGTGCAAGTCTGAGCAGACTGTCGCGGCATCTTTGCAAATAAACGAGCGAATGCAAGCACGACATCTTCCTGCACACACAATAGCAGGGATCCATGTTTCCTTCTGTCGAGCCGGCACACACACGCACGCACACACACACACACACACATACACACACGCACACACACATGCACAGTGCCTTCAACTGACGGTTTGCATGCGTTGTTCATGTGCGAGGACGAGAACAGGTGCAGACCACCGAGCAGAACGCGGTGGCAGCCAGCAGTCCTGTTGTCGTGGCGATTACGGTGGTGGTGATGTACGTGTGTGTGTGTGTGTGTGTGTTTGTGAGGGAAGGGTGAGTATGGTGCACGCGTGTGCATGAAGGTGCAAGATTGGCAGAAGAGACAATAAAGGCAGATGTAGCCAGCCAAATGCAGCCAGATGCAAGCACGTGCACACGCTCTTTCCCACGCTCGCCAGCGGACCTTGGTGTAACGATTGCTCGGATCTCTGCAATGGACTGGTGCGCAATTGCACCCTCTCCAATCACAAACGTGGACGTGAACCATCGTGGCTCTACACGACCACCACTGCCACCAGCACCGCCATCGTCATCTTTGCCATCACCAACATCACTGGTATCGTCACCATCACCAACCACCATCGTTGGCGGAAGAGCAAGATTTCTCCGCCAGACTTTCAAGTCCTTTCCTTCTCTCGTTGTTGCCGCCTTCTCCTTCTTCACACCATCATCATCATCATCATCAGTGCCAGCCTGGTGTGTGTTGAGCGTCACGGGTGTGAATGTGAGTGTGCCATCACCGGTTCGCTCGTAGCGGGAGACGGGCAGGGCATACTGTCCTTCAAACTTCGCCACCACCCGCTCGTCGCAGAACTGAAATGCGTGTTGGCCGGGTTGTGGACAGGTCGGGAGCCGCAGGTACTGCACAGCGCCGCGGTCCTCCTTTGTCAAAACGAATTGCAGTGAAACATCTGGCGCTTCGTCCACGTGCTCCAGCGTGCCGCTTGAGGGACGAGGGGGTGTTTGGTGTGAGTGAGTGAGCGAGTGAGTGAGTGAGTGAGTGTGTGTGTGTGTGTGTGTGTGTGTGAGTGTGTGTGAGTGAGTGAGTGAATGGTTGAGTGAATGGTTGAGTGAGTGCGTGAGTGAGTGAATGTGTGAGGGTGAGAGTGGGTCACAGTTCATGTCAGGCACACAACAGGCGGACACGAGCACGTGTTCTTGCTGCATACGTTGTGAGCTGGACGATGGTGAGGGAGGAAAGGGGCCGGCGCGTGTGGAAGAGACGGAACACGAGCGCATCCCCAGCGGCCTGGACGTGATGGCGATTGGTGATGTTGTTGTTGTTGGTGATGGAAGCAGGGGTGATGATGATCGTG